GATCCCACTTTTATTTGTACTTGTACTTTGTACTTTATGTGTTACTTGTTGGAGCCAAAAGATTCCACACTTTCAGTGGTGTGAACAGGGCCACAGATACAATGTCAACTTTCCATTTCCAGTTTACGCAGTTTACCAATTGCACACCGAACCCCCCAAACCCCCCCCCCCCAACCAGAGACAAACGTGGTCATGTGGCAACACGACACACACACACGCATGCATACCACACGTGCACTCACCTGCGCTCCCACACCCCATTCTCCTGCGTGGCGCTGCCGTCAGTCACCTGCTTACTGTCAAACACCAGAGCATCTTTAAAACTGACCTCGCAGGAATCGTCTGACTCCAGCCCTGATGGGAGACAAGACAGACAGACAGAACAGACAGGAGACAGATAGACAGATACGAGTAGATAGATAGGATAGGATAGACCAGAATAGCATAGACGACAGACAGACAGACAGACAGGACCAGACAGGCTAGATAGGATTTATTAAAAAAAAACCCCTGAAGGGGAAATGGCGGTTTTTCCCCCCCCCCCCCCTCATTAGCAGGCATGGGTACATTAAAATACAATAAAATACAATAGGAATAAAATACTTAGATAGGAAAGATAAAAATAAATATAGTAAGGGTGAAAGAGTTGCTAGTTGCCCAACATGGTGGGTGAATAGCTACTGATGACATTGATTAGGTGTTATTCTGTAATAACAGTAGTATAATGATAATATTAATAATAATTATAATAATAGTTCATGTAATTATATAACTGATGATGAACAGACTTGATAGCATGGTATACACATAGATTATTAAACATTAATAGTGAGGCTATAATGAACATTAAGGAGGGAAGGAGGGCTTGGGCAGGGGAAAGGGGCACAGCTATATATTTAACCTAGACTGTGGCTGTGTTCGCCTCCTCACCATGCTCTCAGCCGTCGTAAAACTCCTCCTCGGCCTGTTCATACTGAGGCAGAGAAAGTAATAAGCGGTGTTACTCAGAAGTCATGTTTGCCACACCGCTGCTCGCCCTGCCAGCCCCAGGCCTCTCTCAAACATCACAGGAGCAGGCCAGAAAGCAGCTCAACCTGCACACGACCTGGCAAACAACCAGCGCGACCTGGTTACACCGAGCCAGACATACACCTAATGATGCAAGATTGGGGATTAAAATAAAACGCAAAACAGCTGGTCTGTCTATGTATCTCGGCTTAACACGCCTTCCCTCTCTCCGCTCTCACCACTTTTAAAAAAAAGGAAAAAAAACAGCTTTAAGCTTTTTTAGTGCACTATCTGTGCGGGGGCTAACTAGCCGTTAGCCATCGCTGTGCCAGGGGAGGTTAAAAACGCTCGTTTTTCGAGGTTTCGCGCATGCAGAGATCTAGCTGGGGCGTTAGAGAACAACAGGGACACCGGCCCCCAAGAGGCTTTCAACAACGGTTGTCAATCGGAGTACCTGCGAGTTAAGGTCAAGTTACTGCGGCCCCTAACAACGTAAACAATCCGGGAGGGATAAGGTGCCTCTGAAACAGGGGCGGGGGAAGTGGGCGGCAAGGACACCGTGGATGGACAGGCTGCTGACAGCCAATCAGAGAGATCGCCAGGGGGCCTGCGGCACCGGTGTTTCCAGGGAATTAGAAGTTTGAAAGGAGAAGTTCAGTTCTATTTTCAACCATTACTGGACACTTTATATAGATAATAATATAATGGTGACATTAAGTTCAAATATCAGAAGCTCAGTCTGTTTTCAACATGACACCTCTATCATATAATAATAATAATTGCATTAAGTCAAATATCAGAGGTTCAGGGTCTGTTTTCAACCATTACACTTTATATGAACAATAGATGAATAATGAGGCATATAAGTCCAAATATCAGGAAGGTCTCAGTCTGTTTATCAACCATTGACACTTGTTAGTATAATAATAATCAATAATGGGGGCCATTTAAGTCAAATACAGAAGTTCAGGTCTAGTTTTTCAACCATGACACTTTTATAATGAATAATAATAATGCTGACATTTAAGTTCAGAATATCAGAAAGTTCAGCCTCTGATTTTTGTCAACCATTGACACTTTATATAATAAGTAATAATAATGAGGCATTAAGCAAATATCAGCAAGTCAGTCTGTTTTCAACATTGACACTTTATATAATAAAGATAATAATAATGAGGCATTAAGGTCACAATATACAGAAGTTCAGGTCTATTTTCAACATTGACACTTTAGGTATAATAATAATACTAATGTGACATTAAGTCAAATATCAGAAGGTTCAGTCTGTTTTCAACCATTGACACGATGCTTATGATAATAATAATAATAATCGCTGACATTAAGTCAAATATTCAGAAGTGTCAGTCTGGGCTTTTCAACCATTGACACTTATATAATAAATAATAATGTGCGACATTAAGTCAAATATCAAGCAAGTGTTCAGTCTGTTTACAACCGATGTGAACACTTATATAAATAAATATAATAATGGAGGCAATTAAGCTCAAAAATATCAGAAGTTCAGTCTGTTTTCAACATTGGACACTTATATAAATAATAATAATGAGCGCCATTAAGGTCAAATAATCAGAAGTTCGAGCCTCTGATTTTCAACCATTGGACACTTGTAATAATAATAATCAATAATGAGGCATTAAGGCTCAAATATCAAAGTTCAGGTCTTTTTCAACCATTGACACTTGGTATATGAATGATAATAATAATGAGGCATTTAAGGTCAAATTATCAGAAGCTTCAGTGTATTTTCAACCATTGACACTTTACTTATAATACATAATAATGAGACATTAAGTCCAAATATCAGAAGCTTCAGCTGTTTGTTTTCAACCATTGACACTTTATATAATAATAATAATAATAATAATAATGAGACATTAAACATAAAGGCTGCGTGGGGCTGACTCTTAAATGGTTATCATCATTTATTTGTATAGATTGTTCTCTTAAATGGATTTCATAGACATTTTAGGGGTTTTAAAGGAGCAAAAAGTCCTTTTTAAATGTGCAATATACCATCATATGTAAGGCCTACCTCCTAATATGTTATTAAAAAGGAAAGTAAAGTGATGTAATGTAAGTTGTTGTTTCCTTTACATTAAAATGTCATTGGTTTTCCCATTCATAATAATGTAACTTAGGGGCTTTGATTTATTAAGGTATTTTGTGATACATTATATGTATATATTATATTATATGGGATTTATAAGAGGTTATATGGGGTTTGAATCACTTAAAATTGACCCAAAAAAACATGAAAACCTCCTAAAAGGCTCTTCAAAGGTATACATTTAGGCATGGGATTGTTTGGATGTTTTTTACCCCTTAGAAACCCTGTAAACTTAATACATTGATTATTAACATTTCATTATTAAAATCCCATTAGCCTAATTGCATCATCATAAATAGAAAAAATACATTGGCACTAAAACAAATTAAGGAATTCAGTTTCAAAGATTCATAGTGTCAGCTGTCTGAAATCTGCCACTGACTTTTATTAAGAAAAAAAAGGTATATAAATTGTAAGTAATGTTTTTCTTAATGGTGAATAATCCCTTTGATTGGTGTTTATTCTTTGTATGTGACTTAACAAATGATGACCCATTAATAAAGTGTCTTACTTTCTAATAAACCAACAAGTCTGCAAGTTTAAAGACATTAATAAAAGTTGTTTTTACAATAATCTATGAAATCTGCAGATCTTAATGTTAATAAATTGTTGGTCATCCTGAAAGAGCTGAAAATACAACAGCAGCATCTTGATGGAGGTCGATAAACATCAGATTTTTCCCAACCTGGCAACCTCAGAGTTGATCTATAATAACTGATGATGACACAATAAGAGATGATTTGTTTTCATTGTCATTAATAGACATTGTTGTACATTGTTGTAGTATTAAACTTGCACTAAGGAGACAAATGTTTAACAGTTCTGCACATTTTATAGGACAGAAAGAATATTTTACCCTCATATCTTTGCTTCTTTATAAAAGTGACATTCTTACTCAGATTTTCTCACCACACGTGGCTGTTCTTTAATATTTTTCTATGGTTGAGCAATCGCAAGTTCCTCTTGTGTTCCTCGACACTCCTACTTCAGTGTCCAATAGGCGGACAGGAGGTGAGCAGGAAGAACAGATGAGCATGAAGAAAAAAAAAAACAACATCTATAAATGACTCCTACTCTGACCTGGGCTGATGGTTAATGCTTGAACTGATTAAAGTCTGTGTGAGAGTCACATCACTTCAGGACCTCACGAAGAAATAAATAAATAAATTCAATTTACAATCCATCTCCACTTGAGACATCAGTTCAATTAAATTAATGAGTGCTTCAGTAATCCACCAGGTGGCAGCTTTATACCTCTGATCAGTTAACCCTGAAATTAACCTAAACGTTTATTTTATAACCAATTATAAATACAAATATATACGGCTAATATCTAAAACATAATAAGAATGACATTAGAAGTGACAAATGTGAATATTGAACATGTTCACTACAGGATGTGTTCAGAGAGACAGTTTTAATATCAGCCCAGTAAATATTTAATCAAGCTGCTGGTTGTGTAAATAAATAATTGGACACTCAGAGGAATAAATGGGAAGTTGTTAATTGTTTGTCAGATTTCCAAAAGAAGAAAATGGAAACTGTGAACATCGACTTCTTGTTAAATCACACAGAGTCACAACAAGACCGGAAACACCTGTGATTTGTAAAATAAAAGTGCAAAAATAATTGTCCTTATCTTCTCGATGGGGAGCTGGGAGGTAGAAGGGGGAGAAAGGCTGGAATAAAGTCAGAAAACAAATAGTTTAAGTCTGTTTATTCTACTTATATATTTATATTTTAAGGGATGTTTTTACAACCATTTATTGATAACACTTTTTTTTTTAAATAGAGACTGTTTAGGGAAGATGTAAAATGTGGAAAACAAATATTTTACTTCGATGAAAATAAAATATAAACTACAGAGCACTTTCGTCCAGGTTAAATGAAAGGGTTTTATTTTTGGTGACCGGAAGTCATGAACCACCTGCGGTACTCAGACCCTGCTGGTTGCTGTCTGCCCTCTTTCTGTGCGCATTTTGGCAAAGTTTCAGTCACCGGGATGGAGAGCATCCAGTCGCATCTCTTCCGTGAGCTGTGAGCTGCGGACTTTAGGAGCTTTTTAACATATTTTTGAAACATTATGATCATTTTGAACTAAGAAACTAAAAACTGCATGCCTGTTTTGTTTCCACCTGATAGAGTCGCAGACAATCAGTCAGGATGAACAGAGACGCAAAGACTTTGCCCCGGAGCCAGAAACAACCCAGGACGCACCAGCAGGTTCCTGTCCAGAAGAGGAAGAAAGATCCGTCTTCTAAAGACCATCAAAGTGGTTCTTTATCCAAAGACTCAGCTCAGTCTGACTCTGGGAAGGAGGTGAAATCTGCGGCGCTGCAGGGAAAACGACCGGGGAAAGTGGCACCGGTTGTCCCCGCGGAGGGCCAGCGGAGCCCCGGCGCGCAGAGGAAACTGTCCGATGCCAGCAACGCTTCAGAGGACCTGAGCAAAGACTCCGGCTGCCTGTCTGGGAAACTCTCCTCCTCAGACAGCAGCTCGGAAATATCCGATTGCCCCTCGGAGGGCAGCAAGCAAGACTCTCCGAGCTGCGACAATGAATTAAGCTGGATAGACGCTGCAGCTTATGTGAGCCCGGACAGCGAAGGGAAAGGAGACGGCGAACAGTGCGCAAAGGCAGCGACGGATACCTGCGCCCCGACGCCTGATGCTGCTGGAGGGGGTCTCAGCTTGTTTAACTCCTCTGGGTCGTTTATGGATCTCATGATGGGAGAGACAACCGAGGATCTTTCCAGGGAGGTGGACGATTTAAGATCAGAAAACGAGTATTTGAAAGTAAGTTTAATTTATTTTTGTATTCAATTTAGTTTATTTTCAGGTTTGTTGATATTTGGGTAGTTTTTTTTAATCTAAATTTCCACATATTTGTGCGTTGCTTCTTTATGTTCTATAAGTAAGTTCTATAAGAGGCCCTCTGCAGAGTCCAGAGCCGATTTTCTGTAAATGCTCCTGTCAGTCTTCATTAGAGGCAGTAGGACAAGTGAAGCTCTCAGGCAAGAATCAAAAGTCACCATTACCATACCTGATCAGTAGCATTTTCCATGTTATAGTGAAATAAAACTAATGGACAACAAAGCAAAATGTGAAAACTCATGAAAAACAAGACCAAGTATGGTGTGTAAAGTATGTTTCATACATAAAGGTAGATTCAAGGTGCTGTACACAAATCAAAGATAAAAACAGTATAATTATAAAAAGAATAAGAAAGTTATATATCTATATTAAACAATAGACAAAAGAATCAAAGTAAATAAAATAAATTAATAGTTTTAGGTAAAATTGCTTGAGTGTAAAAAGGTTTTCAGTGTGGATTTTAATTACAATGGTTGCCATCAGGCAGTGTCGACTTTTTTTGGCACATTTTTATTGGTGCAATTTTAAAGAATGGAAGTGAGTCAATAACTCAAAGCAGTGACTTGCATATTCATCACCCTGTTGCCATTTCTTTGAGCAGTAATTTAGTATAATGTACTGTGAGTGATGGAGACTGCTGTGCCTTCCATTTAATGTGTAAGACTTGCCTTATAAATAGGTCCTGCCTGGTATTCGCTATGTCACTTGAGCATTATGTTGCTGTTTTTACAGTAAGAAGAGTTAAGAGTTTAAACTAAACCAATCAGAGGACCCAGTGGGAGAGGCTGTTTTCTAAAAGAGGAATTTAAGTGATTGAGTGTTGCACTTTGTAAAGCTGTGGGACTTACAAATGAGACCTCAGAAATCCTGACTTAATTTTTTTTTTTAAACATTGGAAACTACATTTCCCATAATGCAACTAGATAGCATCTTTAATTAGGCCCCTTTGCCTCCTAAAGTGACACTTTTTTACACTCCACAACTCCAGTTTGTTTGTCTCAAGCCCAAACCATCAGATTTCCAAACGCGTAGTCTTCAGCACCAACTGTTGCTGCCTCAAGTGACATCACTTGAGGTAACCTTTCACGCAGCTCCCTCTGGAGCCACAGAACGCTCTACTCAACATTTTTCTCATGTGTTGTAGTACTACTCCCGAGATTCTCCAGGACAGTGTGATGTTGTGATCGCAAACAATTAACGCAAATCCAACCCCTGTGAATTCTGCGTCACCTCGCTTTTTTGTCCAAATAACCGCAACTTTCACGCAAATTTGACCAATTATAGTACAAGCTACTAGCACTTTCCCTCACAATTTCATTGCTTAAAATGCCTAAAATTTCTAAAACATTGCAGGTTTTTTTTAGAAAAACTGCAGTGAAATCAGGCATTCTAAGCCACAACAATCCCCCAATAAACCTGTGAAATCCTCATAGAGACCGAGACTCCCCAACACCTGTAAAGAGAATTAGTAAAATCTACCGAGCACAGACTCACAGGATGCCATCTTTACCTTTTCATTTAACAAATCTTTTAAATCTGGAGCTTCAGCTGTTTTCCAGTGCCTTAAACTGGATGCTACATCATTTTTTATTTATTTTTTAATATAGTTGGTGTTTAAGAATCCGCATTAATAAGGAGTCAAAGGGATTACTGAACCAAAACATGCATAAGTTTCACCCAGAATGGTTTAATTAAGGTGCAGTCCTGTAATATGCAATGTGAGTGGAAAAGTTTCTGGACTTTTAACTTGGCAGCTCAGAGGGAAGTGAGCCTGAGGTGCAATAATAAAAAACAATTGTATTTTCATTCTTCATACTTATAATGTGTCTAGTTTATAACAAGGATACCTGAATATACAACCATAAGTAGATTTTAAAAACACATTCTGTTCCTAATAGTTGTATTTCTGTGTTGTTTGTCCCAGGATGAGGTGGAGGAGCTCCGCTGTGAGATGCTGGAAATGCGTGACATGTTCCAGGAGGAGGAGGTGTACCAGCTGCAGGAGCTGCGGCTGCAGCTGGAGCAGGCCAACAAGACCTGTCGCATCCTGCAGTACCGCCTCCGCAAGGCCGAGCGCCGCAGCATCCGGGTGGCCCAGACGGGACAGGTGGACGGAGAGCTGGTCAGGAGTTTGGAGCACGATATCAAGGTCATTACTCCTCCTTCCTCTGTGTGCGTCTTTTTAAAACTCGCTCACCACCAACAAACAGTAAAAGCTCCTTTTTCTCCAAATTGGCTTTAGACTGAATCACTGCTGTTCCAGTTGCCAACATCAAAGTGAGCATTTTCTGTTAGTCCCACAAAGCTTTTTTCTCATTTCAGCACACTAACAGTGTTTGTGTTGTTCATATACACTGAAGGACTGTAATCAGTTGACAGCAGCCTGAGTCACGGCTGTAAAACACTCCCTGCTGTTTGTCAGCACCACAAAACTTTCATTAGTTTGAAACGTCTTCATCATGCATCCTGTTTATATTTTCGTCATACCACGGTGTAATTATGTGGTGAGTTGTTCTCCATGAGTAGGAAACATAAAAGCACAGTAATCTTTATCAGAATCCTGGCAGGTCAATTGTTCTGTTGTTAAATGAGGCTCTGTGGTGGCAGCCAGACTCTGTTTCTTTGAGCTGTGTGTGTGTGTGTGTGTGTGTGTGTGTGTGTGGTGTAAGATTCCCAGCACCCCCTCATACACTCATATGGTGAATTCCTATCACAAGCATTTCCTTGTAAAGTCTCTCCACTTTATCCAAACCAAGTGCTGCAGTTACAAAATATGTTTATGAGTAAAACCAGAACTTGAACTTTACAGAACTTGACCCTGATTGGAGTCATGGATGGATTACTGAACAGGCCTACTGGGAATAGGCAGTAAAGAAACAGTAAAATGATCACAAAGAGACAAGAAACAACTACAAAGAGACAAGAAACAACTACAAAGTGATGCAAAACAGCCCCAAAGAAACACAAAATGACCACAAACAGAGACAAAATTATTACAAAGTGACACAAAACAACAGTAAAACTGCCACAAAGTGACGCCAAACGGCCATAATGACGACAAGAGATGCAAAATGAGCACAATCACCCTGACCTGGTTGTTTGTAGTTGTTTTGTGTCTGTTTGGATCTTATCTAGGAAGGTTGGGTGCCCAACGCCCCATTATCTCATAATCCGCCCATGATTGGTGCTACAATAACCTGCTGTTGGCTTTGCTTACAGGTTGGGAAGAGTGTGTCCCTCCGGCTGTACAACGAGCTGGAGATGGTGCAGAAGAAGAATTCCCAGTTGGAGTGGGAAAACGAGGCGCTGCGAGAGAAGACACAGGAACTGGAAGTGGCAAAGCAGGTGTTACAGGCTGAGGTGGACAAAGCCAGAGAGGTGTGACATTAATGTAGAACGTTTATCTCTGCTCACTTTAAATCTGAATTTAACATGTGTGGGTATGAGGAGGACAGTGTGGGTATAGGAGAAGATTTTTTTGTGGTAAAACAGACATAAATTATTTCTCAAAGGAGAGTAATTTCATCTTAAAACATATTAGAACATGTCTGGAGGGGATCTTTAATAAATCTGTACATTGGCTCTAGATATTCAGCCTAAATCTTGACAGAAACATAAGCTGCCTCCATCCCTCTAGTCAGGAATCCTCCTCTCCATTTCTGCTGCTACACAGCTGCACCCATCCCAGCCCAGTTGTCGCCCTCATCCCTCTGTCACCTCTGATGTCAGGTGACACATGACCCTGGTGCAGATCTATGATATGAGAGGAGGGCACGGCCAGCAGCTGCCTGGTGCCTGGGCAGGGTGAAGCAGCCCGGTATGCTGAAGCCTGAACTCCAGGCGCAGCTGATCTCCTCAGCTGAGCGGACAGAGAAAAGGGAGAGAGGGTGCGAGAGATTACAAAAATAGACTCTCTCTTGCTTTCTCTCTTTCTGCTTCTATTAAGCCAGGCTAAATCTGGATCAGCGTGTATTATGGCATTCAGAAAGGCGGGTGTTTGTGTGCCGACATACTGACCTACAACCGTCCCTGCAAATGCTTTTGTGAAACAGTGGCTACCACACCCTGATAGTGATTGAATGTCTAGTCCACCTTTTATTCTCGCGGCCCCTCCTGCCTCGTTGGCTCCTGTGATAACGATCGTGCACTTCAGTGACACGTGTTCAGTTTAATCCAGGATTCGGTGCTTTGGCATGAGCTCAGCCTGGCCCACTCATTGGAGACAGCTGCTAGTCCCTTTGATCCCAACAGGGAAATCCACTTAGATTACCTAATCTAGGAGCCCAAAACAAAGTCTAGATGGATGTGAAGGAGCATTGCAACTGGACTGTCTGTGGCTCGGTTAGTGGGACTTGAATGGATGCACAACACTCTCAGGTCATAAAATAGCTACAGATGCACAAACAATAACCAAACTATACGTAAAGACTTTAAAAAATACAAGAACTGCACTCTGCAACACAGATTGTGACAATTTTCCACATCAAGAAATGCCAAAATTGATCTCCATCACGCATATTTGTTACTTTGTTCACATTTCAGGTCACAGTATTCAGTATGTTTGCAGCCTGATCACACTCCTTATGTCCGCCACTTCTAGCCTGCAGAAGATGACTATTATTAACGCTGTGACATCCAGTCTAGTGTCTAGGAGCGACACAATGGTGCCAGACAGAAGCTTACATTCCTCTCATACTCAGACATACAAATAAACTCACTCACTAGAGTGGGGAAGGACTCGGATTTGAGACAAAATTTGGATCAAATCACTCCATGGACGTAGTGTTGCCTGGAGAAGTAGGTATACTCTTAATTTAAGGATAAACGCTGTGTTATAAACAGTGACATTAATTAAGGCTCACTCAAAAACAAATGGGCCAGTAGTATTTGCACATTAACTTCTGCTGCTTGACTTCAGGCAGTAAGGATAATTATGAAATTAACATTAGCAACAGAAGAGGTGCAGATTTTACCTCAATACTGACACAGACTACAACTACATGCATTAATCCTTACTCCATCCAGTCATGAAAACTATGTCATGCCTTCAAAAAGAGCAGATTTAGATGTGTGTATACTCTGTATACCTGCGTATATACTGAACTACACCACTGAATGGATGGTTATTGCATTTTAGGCATCTCTAAAGGTAGCACAAAGACATGATAAATACATTCTCGCTTTCCTGCTTAGAGTTGGATGAGAAGATTGAAATCACTCACATATCTGTTTGCTCAGTATGAAGCTAAAGCTACCAGCCAGTTAGCTTAGCATAGAGACTGGAACCTGGTTCTGTCTGAAGGAAACTAAATCCACCTACCAGCATCCCTAAAGCTCACTAATTAGCACGTTATCTCTTGTGTGTTTAAACTGTACAAAGAACAACAGTTTTTGGCAGGTTGGAAAATTTAAATATGGAAGAGGCTGGTAGATTTCAGACACAAAATGTGACTGGTCAACTTGAACATTTATCTGTCAGTGGCTGCTAGATGTTCAAATTTTAAAAAGTAAATTTTCCACCCTGGGGTTTGGTCAATAAGACTTCAGGAAGTCACTGCCTGCGGCCGAGAAATAGTGTGGCACCTTTTGGTAACCTTGTAAAACCCCAAATTAATGGTTTAAGCGAACTAGATATAATGTCTTAATTAGTGAGCTTAAGAGGTGCTGACAGGAGGATTTTGTTACTGATACAGCCAACTGTCTTCTTGCTGTAGCTTAATACTGCCCGGCAGAGGTGGCAGTACAAACACAAACAAAAAGACTGGTAAAAGTAAAAGTACTGATTCAACTTCTTTACTAGAGTAAAGGTGAAAAAGTACAGGCTCTGACTCAGGTACTCAAACTATAAGAGTAAAAAGTGGTCTTGGTGTCTGAAGGACAGCTGTTTTAAAGCTAACTGAAACTTCAAACTGGGTCTAGTCTCTGTGTCTTGTGTGTTTTGTCATGTTACGTCTGTCATGTGAAAATAAAATAAAACGTAAAAACTAAAAATACAGACAAGTGAAGTACAGATACCAGAAAAAACACAAAGTAGAGTAACAAAGTAAATGTACTTTGTTAGTTCCCATCACTGCTGAACGGACAGATATGAAATAAATTTCCATCTTCTCAATAAACTGCAAGAAATGTTGAACTGTTCGTTTATCTGTATTTGTGTATTGAAGTATCCTGTTGCAGCTGAAGTTGTCATGTGCAGTATGTCACGTAAAGACATCTAAAATAAAAGATATATATATATATATGTATAATTTTTGGCCAAAATATTGTTTGTATACTGGCTTGATAAAACTCTTCGTCATGTTATTGTTCCTCAGAGCACTCTGAAGAAGAAAAGCATCCGATCAACAGTCAGTAAGTCTGAGAAGAGGCTCTCTCAACAGATTGAGGTACGTTTATGTTTGTAATTCATGTGGCTTCACTGATGAAAAACTGAACATTGCAGTCACTTATTTATCATCCTCGTAAGAGCGATATTCACTGTTGGTTTTATTTTTCCCCAAAAGGATGACAGCGCCGATCTCAGGTGCCAACTCCACTTTGCCAAAGAGGAATTAGCTCTAATGTGCAAGAAGCTCACCAAGTTGGTATCAGAGAGCGAGGCCATGCGCGAGGAGCTGGCCAAATACCGCTCAGCCTACGGCGACATAGACGTCAGCCAATCGCTTGAAGGCAAACAAAACTCCGCCCACACCAGGGAGGCAGAGGTCAAAGTTCACCTGAAACTTGTGGAAGAGGAGGCCACACTCCTGAGCCGGCGCATCGTCGAACTGGAGGTGGAGAACCGTGGACTGCGGGCAGAAATGAGCGACCTGAGAGAGAAGATGGGAAGAGGAGGACGGGAAGAGGAAGAGGAAGAGAATCAGGATGTGTTGGAGGAAAATATGTCGGCTTCCACGCCGTTGAGGGAAAGAGAGGGACGGGAGCAGAGTTTGAAAGTAGGATGCACAATGTACGAGCAGGGTCAGGACGAGGAAGCAGAAAATGGCAAAAGTGAGACATTTTTGCTTTGCAACCAATCGCAGACTGAAGGGACAATTACTGCCTGTCATATTACTCGAGAGGGTCCTGTGGGTGGTGAGTGGGACCCTTCAGACAGTCCTGAGAATGATAACAACAATAAACTCGACAGAGGTCTCAAAGGAATGACAGTGAAAGACTACGAAACTCTTTTAGCTCTCAGAGATCATTCCTGCATTTTGAGTTCAGCCTTCCAACTCCTGTCGACACCGCCAAAGAATGGCCACTGCTCATCTCCCTCGCGTGCTTTCACCTCTACGACAGAGGTGGCACAGAAGATACTCCTACCAGGGCCTTTGAATGAGGCTTTGGAGCTTCTACAGGCCATGCTGTTGGCTTTTATTGGGAGGGTGGAGACGCTTCTAACGGGAGATTTACTCTCCGTTCAGAAGGATGGACGTGTTCGAGATTCCTACACTTTCTCCTTTCTCTCTGGAGACTGTGCAGATCACGATCAAAGTGAGCAGGAGTGTGTAGAAGACCTCCGCACCACAGAGGTAAAGGAGAGAGAAAAACAAACGAGACAAGCAACCTCCTTCCAACGAGACCTCATCCACAGCAGCAGGGACCCAAAAATGCGACTTTCCTTGCAGATTCTGTGGATCCTTCATCAGTGGTGTCAAGTTAAAGGACCTGGGCTGGAGGGAAAAGAGGTAAAACTAAAGCAAATTGTGTGTGTGTGTTTTTTTAAGGCTACATATCTTGAATATCTATGTGTTGTTTTCATTCAGGGTAAAGACAAAACCTTGTCTGTGCTGCGGGGGTTGCTGCAAGACCTCGACAAAGAGCTTCGGGATGAGGCCAAGGCCACGCAGGACAAGGCAGATGAGGTAAGGATGGTGTTTACCCTTCAGGCATGAGCCCCCCCGCTGTGTGTGAGGCTGTGAGATACAGCGGGAAGTCCTGCTGATGATCTGTCTCCCTGGCCACACGTCCCCCCTGTCAGTTCAACAGGCATCAGAGTATTTAGGCTAATCTCTTGTAGAGGCTGCAGCCAAACAGGACAGGCATGTTCAAATCTGCTGCATTAAAACACTCGAGTCTAAATTCTCACAGCTCCTATAACTCCACCTGCTTGGACGATAGAAAGACAGTTTTAGTGCAGGTCACATGAAAACCGTAGTTCATTTGTGTTTTTGCCACTGAACTGGTGGTGTGTCCTTTGCACAGCATGACTCAAGATCTGCTTTTAAGGGACGGATTTATTTCTTTAATGGTTGTTTTTTTCTCCTTACTCCACTGACTAGACTGTAATCCCTCCTTTCCTCAGAGGCACATTTTGTTTGGCATAAAAAATAAGACTCTACTGTACTACTGAGGCTGTACTAACCAGGGGCGTGTCCAGACTTTTCCTACACTGCAGAAATATTCAAATAAACCAGGCGATAATAACACATTTGTAACACATGCAAAAAACTGCATGGTTTTTGCCCCAAACTGCATTGGATTAGCATTTCATTCAGATATCGTGAGGTCAGAGGACAAGGGATCTCTTTGAAATTGACTGTGCCTGTTTTTCCATCGCCACAATTTAGCCTACATTTGGAGCATTCGTTAATCTCTTTCCCAACATGCTAGCATGACATGGTTGGTACCAGTGGTTGCATTAGGTCATCTAGTTTCATATAATACCAGTATTTTCACTCTAGCTTACAAGCAGAACGTGCTATGGCCCCTGAAAGACAGTGTGGAGTGGAAGAGGTAAGCATAATGGGCTGGTGGCTTGGTGGCCAATCCAATTTTGGGGTGGCCAGCGTCACCCAAGGAACCCCTTCTGGACACGGCCCTGGTACTAACACTCCACACAGCATGCTTACAATGACAGTGCTAACATCCTGATGTATTGGAGTTGTTCTAAATAGCGTTGACGTCAACATCACGCCGTAATTACAACTTCTGAAAGCTGTGACAGATCTGAGTTAATTAATACTTCATATTATGGAAGCGCCAGAAAACAAAACAAAAATAGACACCATCGCAAGTCATAGACCTCTGAATCTCACATTTCTTCCATCCATCCTGTATGACGTGTTAAGCATATTCAATATCTTTAGTTTGAAGCTGATGGAAATATCAATAGTTTAGTTTTGTAGTTATCATTAGGTGTTTGGTCATGAACCGAAGACAAATGAGAATTTTGAGCCAATGATGAAAGGTTAAATCACTTAAGTTATTATAATTCATTCTGAGGGGAACATGAATACGTGTTTCAATTTTAATGGTAATATATCCAAAAGTAAAGACATTTCACTAGATAAAGAGTCAGATCACCAAAGTCAGTAGGATTCATCATCTGGGGAACATGAATGTCTGTTTAGTTGTTGAGATATTTCAGTCTGGACCATCGTTGTGGAACTATAGGCTAAGAAGTTCAGCAACTATTATTTAGCTAATATGTCTTCTCTCTTTGCTCAGGGTGCCATCAGCAGTATCTTTCTCAATGAACGAGACTCTGGAGCTGACAGGTCAGTGTTTTCTTCAAGCCTTAACATCCCGTCCATCTTATTCCTGAGATCATAATCCATGTATCACCTGCTGCTTTCACAGAACTTGCAGCTCAAAAGAGAAAAGACTTCGGAGGCAGTTTTCTTCACGCGGCTATACGAGGAAGAACTGGTGCTATCTGAGCCAGGAGGCTGCCCAGCTGGACCAAGAGGACCCCGTTAAGACGTGGGACCATCTAATCATGCCGCTTAGCTTCCCTGATCTTGACTTTGAGCAGATGTCCCTGGAGAGAAGCCACACTGCCCCGGAGAAGTCGGCCTTCCGCATCTACTACAGCCCCCCGTCAGCTCGCAGAGTCCAGCTGGCTCAGCTGAAGCAAAGCCCTGCCGCAGACAGAGAATCTGTCAACACGACCTCTCCCTGGTGCACACCGCCGACCTCCTTCTCTCCGCTCTGTCTGGGCTCATCTGCTAACCTAAGCGACGACATGAAGGAAATGACGGCCAGCTGGATGCAGACGGTTCACGGCGGTTCACAGGAGAAGAGAGGGAGACTGCAGGGCCGGTGGGTCGACGTGGCCTGCGCAGGTACTCAGACCCTCAAGAAGCCACAGATGGTGAGTGTTGGTCAGCAGACAGATGGGACACACGGGTCAGTCTCTGTGAGAGGGAGTCCATCCCGAGTCCTGAGCAACTCCCTGGTCTCTGCACGCTCTCACCACATCTCCACCTCACTGGACGCGGTGCCAGGCAGAGTTGAAAGGTCCAGGGCCTCCACCTCCTCGCCTAAACTGTACCGGAGACACTCTGCGTCTGGTGCATCCTCTCCCCCCTCATCAACCAATCTGTCCTCCTCATCTCCATCTACTTCTAGAGATCGAGCTCTGTGGAACCTGAATCACCAAAGCCACACTGGCCTCTCATGGACTCGACAAACGAGTCACAGAGCAAGTGTGGGACAGACCCACAGCTCTCTGAGCAGCGCCAAGCCTCCCAGCAAATCTGCAGGGGCCAACCGTTACGGCATGGTCACAGAGTTCCTGCGCAGGGTGAGCGGCCGGGTAGAGAAGCCGGTACCGGTGTCTGGCCAGAAGACAAAGAGTGGTCTGAAGAACCTGGAACGTGTTCCAACGAGGCCTCCCGCCGCTCCGCTGCACAGGAACGACAGCGTGACCAGGATCGTCAACCAGAGGTTCATGAAACAGAGAGAGGAGGCCGGTCGGGCCCAGAGGGAGGAGAAGGGGAGCAGCCTGAACCACGGAGTCCGACACAGCACGGGCACCGTCACAGCAGAGGTGAGTGGAGCAAACAACATGTCTGTCAGCACATTTACAGCTCTGATATCAGTAACAATTCTTTCTCACAGACGACATCTTGACGTGTCACATGAGGAAAATCACAGATGTAAATAATAAAATCAAGGATGGCTGAATTCCATTTAGCTTCTTGAGTTTCGGGGTCCTGGTATTGTTCATGCTGACTCACTGTCACACTGTCATGGCTCACTGGGACCAGTGTTGGGCCAGTCATTTATGACTCTTTTTAAAAGTAATATTATTACTTTACTTAATACTCCCTGCCAACAGTAATTAGTTACACTACTAGTTCTATTATTTTTCTGATACTCCCTACAAAATTATTCCTCCTTGTCAAAACCTGGGACCTACATTACCCACAATGCCACTCTACCACAGACAGTTTGGTCACACATTCAGCTGTGTTATGCTACTGGCAGCTCTACATTAGCTTTAAGCAGAGATGAGGAGTGGACTACAGAGGTCATTTCTTTCTTACTCTACACACTCAGATTTCGTCCTTTTCAAACTTCTAGTCTTCAACTGACACTGACTCAAGTGACATAATTTGAAGTAATTTATTCGATCTCGTACAGCTGGACTCACAAATGGCTTTATAGGACTACAACAATTTTCACATATACAGTATTAGTACTCCTTAAGACCTGTAAACTGACTTTAACATTTCTATATTTGAGTTCTCCGGTCAATTATTAAAACGGCTTGATGGTCTGATGTCATCTTTCATTAATTGATTATTAAATCATTTAATTAAGAATTTTGAGTTAAACATTTGCTGGTTACGGCTTCTGAAATTTGAGGATTTGCTGCATTCTTCCATTTTGTTGTGTTGTGAATTGAATATTTTGTTTTGATAATGTTAAAAACATAATGAGATCCAACAAACTGGTGTTTTAAAGCATTTCTATTATTATTATTATTCTCTTTGTTGGTGTTTTTTGTCTCATCTCAGTCCTCTGTCTCTTCTCTTTCTCTGACCAGGATGGAAACTACGACTGCAGCTCCAGCAGCACCTTGACCTTCTGCTTCTCTCGCCCGTCTCGCTCCAACCAGAGACAAACATCAACCCAGAGCAAACTCCAGCGACACAGATACTCGCCTCCAGTCAGCGCGGCTGCAGACTCCAACTGTGAGTGAACGGGGAGGACAAACAGCAGTTATACTGATACCTCTGGACAGCTGAGTGCGGTCAGAGCCACGGGGGAACGGATATAAAATGTAATGGTTCAACTGGGAAAACTGGTAGATAATATGTGGGATGTTTAGGAAAGCTTATAGCTGTGTTTTCTTTTGGTGCAATTCATTACTCTCATCACTTTTTATAGATGGGTTTAATCTTGATTTCAACTACTACACACTAAAATGTAACAGATTATTCATTCATATTTACAGTTTTAAACTTTCTGCAAATTAATTTTATATTATCTTTATGGTGTTTTGTAGAGAATAACTTCATGTTTTATTGAATAAACTTCTAATATCTGACCAACAGGCTTCATTGTGATCTTTATTTATCTCCATATTTGTACTTTATTTAAGCTGCAGGCGTGTGTTTACTCTTCAGCTGCTTCAAGAAGCTTCACCTAGGTGTTTTTGTCCCATGCTCAAAAAAGAAAAAGTAACTGCTAAGTAGTTAATGAGATAAGATTTCCTCGCCTGTAAGGAGCATGATCCTCTCCCTCCCTCTCTCTGATTGTGTGACTTTCACTGATAAACTGCAGCCAGCTCATCAAAGTGTCACACTGTGTTCTGTAACAGTTTAATACACCTGGATATTAATTGTTGGTTCACAGTGTGAGATGGAAGGTTTTCTTTTAGCAGATAAGCTGAAATACTTTGTCTCCTGTCGGTGGCAGCTGGCCCGGCCGTGGTCAAGGACAGAGCGACAAGTCACACAATCACACGGTGTCACGTTTCTGGTCGGCACACGTGTTCATCCTCTAGTGTTACACCGCACACGCAACAATGTGGGTTACCTCCCAGTGGAGTGACTTCAATTCACCATAACCCAGTTTCACATCATTGAAAAAGTGTTAAAAAAAACACACACAGAAAGGAGACCAATGCAGTAAACAACTTAAAATGATCTGACAATGATAATAAATAACTCTTCTGCAGTCAGATAAAAGATGAAAAATACAAAAAAATGTTAATATAATTTTTCACAGTAATTATATTAAACCAGACCTCCAGGGCCCCAAATGTCCCATATACACTGTTCACTTCAAGGATTTTACACCACTAAATATATAAATACAACAATATTTAAAACAGTTACTGTGAACTCACAGTTAAATTGTGTGTAACATTATTAATGTCACTATGAGCTCTTACAACATGTAAATGTATAAGTGTTGATTTCTACATCTAAATATATATAATATATATCAATATATATATTGGCTCTGGAGGAACATTTACCTCTAATACAAACATACATAAAAATACTCCACTACAAGTAAAAGTATGTAAATATTATTAACA